GGTGAAGATCTTCAGTTAATAAATTTCATCGTCTTTATTAATTCAAAGAAACTACAGCTGTATTTTGATAACCCTGAAATACAATAAAGTGACATAAACATAAATGGTTAAGTTCCCTTACCTCATTTTAATTCTTCCACCTGTAATCAAACAGCGAGAACTAATAATTATTATAGAATTGTCATAATTCAAAGAAAACCTTAGAAAAGAACCAGACTACAAAAGTCGTAAACACATCAAGAAGATAGGATCCGCCCTCAACAGAGATGAAGGATAGTACATTCCCAAAACCTACCATCACTTGATAAAGTAATGAATAATATTTCTTGTGTACATTATCTGTTTCAATTCAACTATGTACATCAACCCCATCTATTGTATATGCATCCAACTGGCTTCCTATCAGTTGTGACCGCCTTTGTGGTGTAGTGGTAAGAGCGTCCGCCCGGAGAGCGGAAGGTCGCGGGCTCGATCCCCGACCGCGTCATACCCAAAGACGTTAAAATATGGTACTTGTCGGTCCCTGCCTGGCGCTCGGCATTAATGGGTACAACAAGGACTGGTCGACTCGGAGTCAGTATAATTTGTCTGAGTGGGGTATTCATGCTTCACTGCGGCATGGTATCTCAGTGGACTAGCACTATAAAACCAGCTTAAGTCTGGGCTAGTACAAGCAGCCGCACATACACATACACACGCATGCACGTCGTCATATGAGCGAAATATTCTCAAGCACGACATTAAACCCAATTTCACCTCACCTCACCTATCAGTTGTATAAGTTCTAATTCAGTCCTTGTATATCACCCTTCTGGCTTCCAATCAACTTACTCAGTCTCTTAAACAAGCGTTGTACATCAACCTCATTTATTGTATAAACAACTCATTCCCTATCTACTGTAATAACAACTCATGTATATATTCTCTCAATTTGTTACTCATGTATCACTTGCTTGACAACTACATTAGAATCTATGTCGAAACGTCGCCCCCACAGAATAAAAGAAGTTGTCTATCCATAATAATTGTCATTATTCTTCATCAACTCAACTTCTAAAATGCCCATCAAAGAAATAATTCAATTGGTTGGTGTGATTAAGTTGGTTAAGACAAGTCGAATCCAGTCATGTCATAAAATATATAATTCCCTTAGTCACATCACAAAATGAACGTTTTCGTTATTTCCAGATATGTTTATTGCATACGTGCAAATTGCATGTCAAAGGAAAGTCTACAACTGAATAAGATATTCTCTAAACGTGAAGTCATACAACGCCATTCATGGGCAAGAACATAACTGAAAACCATTTAATACTATCCAGAAATTACGAATGGCGACTGAGCTCCCCGTTTGTAGTCGACTATGCGCAGACAGCACTCAATTGTGGGTAATAATTCACGCTTTCGGTGATTTCTCGCTCTATCGCTTTCTCGCTCTATCACTTTCTCGTGCAATGATATCGCTTTCTCGTCTCGTGTTATCGCTTTCTCGTCTCGCGTTATCACTTTCTCGTCTTGCGTTACCGCTTTCTCGTCTCGTGCTATCACTTTCTCGTCTCGTGTTATCGCTTTCTCGTCTCGTGTTATCGCTTTCTCGTCTCGTGATATCACTTTCTCGCCTCCGAATTTTAAGACGAGAAAGCAATGGCCCTAATCAGCCACCATACATAGGTGGGTTACACAGATGTAGCAATCTTGGGCTGGTGTGGTGATTCGTAGCCTTCCTGGTCTTGGATGGGCATTTGTCGAACTGGAATGCACAAAACGATCCCACAAACGAGTTATTGTGCTGGGGTGTACGCTGAAGGTCCTCGCCACGACACTCTTTCATTTGCCAGCTTGTAATCGTTCAATGGAACTATTTCGGTCGGCACCGTTGAGACATCCCATTTTCTGATCCAGTACTTGCAAGGGTCTGGGATGAATTTGCGAAATGCATTTGGGTCTTTTATAGTCATAGGTTGTACTCATGCTTTACACGTGAAAAGTAATAATTGCGGCCTTTGGTTGTGTACCATAACAATCAAATTCAACATGACAATCATGATCAATAAAACCATTCAAACTCGTTTATGGCTGTATTCGCTCACGCGTGTTCTTCTAAACCATACCAATAACAACCCGCAAAACATGCTTAATTTGACATATGCGTACAAACTTCATTATTTTCAAATTTTATTTTGTTTGAAAATAATCGCAATGTTAAATAAATAGGGAATATGAATAATATTTTAAAAAATGATGGATGGATTTGAATGAATCTTGGTGGTTATGTTAGAAATGACACAAGGGCTATCTGCATATGGTATGGGGAAAGTACATTGAAGTACAAGTACACAGTATTACTTTACAAATGTAATAGTGAATGGAGATTGATTTGCAAGGCGGAGGTATGTTCTCTATTGAAGACCGTTCTAGTTTCCAAATTAAGAAAAATATGTGTAGCATTCATGCTTGTGTTTGTATGTCAAATAATTTTGAAGCGTGTATTTCAAACAGCATATTTTGTTCTTGCAGATTAATGACAGATTCATTGACAATGCAAGTTACTTAACAATGCTAAATCCTTGTGAAAGTTAAAATAAGTATACTAGTACACAAATTATTGCACTTGTATACCCCACTTGTAACATACTTCCTTTCAAAAGTTTAGAATCACTATATGTTATGTGTGTGTGTTTGTGTATATATATGGTTACATCGAAGATTGATTTCTCCACTAGCTTGGGGGAACAAACTGCAAACCTTATGCAGATGAATTGAATGAGGATCACGGGTCAAATTGTTTAAACGCATGTGCAAATATCGTGTATGTGAACAGCTGCGTTTTGGTGTCAAGTTTTGTTAAGAATTCGCCAATTTGTATCATTTATTAACAGTTGCCTGAAATGAGTGACTATATTTACACTAATGAGTCTGAACTTTTGAAAGGAAGTATATATAGTTATCTGTTCACTATGATATAATTTGTTACTTCTATATTTATACCTTCAGACTGCAGATTTGGCTTTATGTCTTTTGTCATTTAATTACCCAGACACGAGTGTCAGTGTGTCAGTTCTGACTGCACTGATATGCCTGATTTGACATTTGTACTTGACTATATGATAGTCACATTAACCTTACCTGGTTCTAGTATTACTACTTAAGTGTGTCATGATAGCATATAATATGAAACCGGAGAATACATTAATTGAATAAATGGATTCCATTGATATATTCCAATACTTACAATGTTGGTGTGCGATGAAAGAAAGACAATATTTGATTAATTTATATGATTATGTCATATTTTATGTCACCAGATTGAAATTAGAAGCATATTATATGGTTATTTCTATATCATGCATCATAAGCTACATTTTAATCTGCTACATGACTATGTTGTAATAGGTTTATGAAAATATTTTTGTCTCGAAATGCTGTTGCAAGCAATTTTGGGAACTCATATCCAATCACCCCACAATGACACTTACAGCAAACCGAAAAAATGGAACCATGTTTTTTGCTGAATCCTTACACAAAAGTGATTACAATTAGTATTGGTTCCAACAATTAACATGTAATTCCCACGGAATTACACAAGCCCCTACACTACAATGGAGAACTGTGCTTTTATCCGTGAAAGCCGATATTGTGTTTCGATAGTGGATGGTAGAGTGAGAATATGGTGAAGGCGTGGGAAACTGTCTTCCAATGAATGTATTGTTGAAAGAGACTCGTGGGGTGGTCCAAGTATCATGGTGTGGGGTGCAATCAGTCTGAACCAGTTAGTTGACACCGTCGTGTTCCAGAATCTCGGTCGAGGATGACGAAATAACGTGACAGCTACTCGCTATATTGACCAAGTCAGAAAACCCAACGTTGTACCACATTTTGGACTTTAAAGAAATCACATCTTCCAGCCAGACAACGCTCGTGCCCACACTGCCAGAGCAACATTGTAAGACAACATGGCATCCAAACCCTACAATAGCCTGCACTCACTCCGGATTTTTCTATTAAGTCCAGCAGAACAACTTTGGGATAAGATTCAAAGAAGAGTGAAAGACCTCCAACCAAGGCCGACAACTGCGGCTGGACTCGACCCGGTATTTCACAGAGTATGGACCCAAGTTCTTATGGCCTTCATCAACCGGCTAATTCATTCCATGTACAGACGATGCAACGCTTTCATCGATCCTCATGGAGGCCACACACAATACTGACTTTGGAGTATTTTAATGGTACCATTTTTGGTGATTTTGTTTGTGTGAAATTAGATTTTGATTGTTAATTAAAGTGAATTAAAGTGTGTGCCTTAAGAAGCTGATAACGATCCGACATTTCTTTTGTGGTTCATTAGAGTTTAGTTGATGATGTTATATACCCAGAAATAACAATGTTTGGGATATCTGCATTTGATCAGGTTTTCCATGTGAGTTCCTTCGCACTGAACCTGTGTCGTTGCCATATTTCCATTTCACCTTCCTGGTCCTTACACCCGTCTATATATACATATAAAGACACCAATCTGACAACGCAGGACATTATATCTTGATTACCCCGAACGACAAATACTAAAGAATATATAAAATATATACCTTATTTCAATTTAAATGATTTGGATAAGTATTGTATTTGTATTAAAAAATGGTACAAGATTTAGTACCTGCTTACTTCCTGCTACATATCAGTTGCATGTAGCATTAAGTCGATCTGCTTTTATGGAATATGCAGTAAGGTATCATTCAGTGACATACCATAATGAAGTCGCATGCTTCATTATTGACACACCAACTAGTGGAATGTCAATCAAACAATTAGAAGCGACCAGTATGGAGTATTGTCATGTTTCAGGTTGGGAAAGGGGGTCGGTTTGTGATGAGCCTATGTCAGACTACTGACGAAGCGGTGAATGTTTTAGCATTGGTAAAACTGCAATCCGTGTAGTGGAATACACCACTGTAACCACCTGTAGTGACGTAGACACTGCTGTGTAACTACCCGTAAACCGGGTCTATCTGACACAGAGCTGCGGCGCAGTAACACAACATCAGTTCATTTCCAAGTACGTCCGAGGGGTTCTGACTTGGAGAACGACAGGTAAATACGGCAGTTTTTCTTTATTCTAACTGCTTGTCAGGGAATTCGATTGTCATTTAGGGTTGTCATTCTTTATCAGGTTTACATTACATAATCTCATCTCATCTGAAGAATACATATAATCTGTTTGCATTAAATCAAATGAAACACCGAGAACAAGTGGGGTTGGTCTAACGGTCAAAGTTAATGCTCATCACGTGCCGCATGTGCATTTGTTTCACTGTTCTAACTACTGCGCTTAAACTTTCGTTATATAAACCAATAATAGCGATTTGAAACTGATCGTTTGTTAAACACTTTTATCCTAAGTTGAAATAAATTATTAGATTTAAATGATCAATTGGCAAGGTAAAATTTAAGGAGAATCCGAACGAAATCCAAACTTTTGATACATTGTAAAGGATATTGTAAAAGTCACCTTCCGTGATTAAAACTGAACAAAATGTTTGTAAAATAGCAATAAAAACACAAAAAACGTACTCGTATTTCCGCCTATTACGGAAATACCCGACAGTTTATGAGCAGATGGGGGTATCACGTAACATGACGTCGTATGTGCCTGTTGGTGATGGCTTCCTCTTTGATTTTACCTCACAACTTAACAGTGTCAATGGATTCTGAAACAGTAAATGATGTTCCTGATGTCATTTCTGAAATGGATGTTAGACCGTATTAATACGATCCAATTTTACATCTTGTAAGACAATCTTCAAGTGAAGATGAAGAAGAATCAAGCGAAACGGAGGCACCGCTTGAGGTCAAAATATATTTAAAAATAGACCGTATCATTTAAAGGGCAAGTTTACACGAAAATTAACCTTTTCGTCTTGCACTTTTTCATCATAAAACGTGTTTGTCAAGTTGTTTTATAGCCAAAACACTACAGATATCAGGAGTAACTGATTTATTTTTTGCATTATATTGATTCAAATTTTCCACATTAACCGAGAGTTCTATGTCCACAATAAACACACCATGGCTTATGTCCCTTGGAAATGACGTCATTGGTGCCAGACCAATAAACGAATGACGTTGTTAGACCCATTTCACGTGGTGCAGGTACAGGTGTGGTTGTAGTGTCTCGATGCGCAGGCTACTCTTTTAATTCAGATGTAGCCTGGTTGTTAGCTTGCTTTGTGGTCAGTTCCACACTTAGTGATGACGTTGCGGTTTGAAAAAACGTATACATTGAGTATAATATAGAATAGCAATACGAGATCACTTCCAACAAAAGACTCTGTAGAGCTTTATTTCATAAATAAAGCTTTTATCAGGCCCTTATCTCTCTCCGCTAGTGTGCATACCACTTTTGAATCCCCAGCCAACTTCCTGGTCACTATGACCGCGAATCGGCACTTTCCTGGTCACGTGGCCTATGACTCAAGTCAACACTTCCTGGTCATGTGCACTATTGTGATCACTCGACAGGGAGGTAAGTGTTGTTTGTCCTAGCAATGAATTTTCAAATCAATAAACTATATAATGTTGCGCTCAGCGAAACAATTTAATGTGAATCTCCTATGATTTCTTTGGTTTTCGTAATGAAGGCTTGTTGGGCTTGTTGTATACCTTGTTCTATGTACTTTTTTTTCTCGTGTTCACTGATTGCAGTGCTTTTATGAGACTTGGACCGAATCTCTTGTTTCATTCTGTGATATTTTGCGAGTTCAGAGAGGACCAAACGAAATTCTTCCTCTGAGATTTTACTGTCAGTGGGTGTGGTGGAAATACGGTCGTCTATTGTGTTTAACTTTGCTTCGGATACAAGTCTGATTTCATCGTGTTTCAATGCTTTACGATGTAATCTGCGGGATGCAAACTTAAACACCAACCCCACCAACCAGGACACTCCCGGCTGTTATTTCAATACGTAGCACTATGGGTGCGGCTATGATGGTGGCCAACAACCCGACACCTACCGCTCCTACTCCCATGCTGGTTGTCATAAGCGGTATCAGCCCCATCCACGACATTGAAAGCTCTATGGTACTTCTTGCATAATGCTGTCCGTTTGTCGCGATCTTGTTCTAGTTGGCGTTTTATGTCACATAACTGTTTCAAACAAAACCCATCTACGGTTTCCAGTGTCTTCGCTTCTTCTTCTACGACTGGGTACAGCCCCATCCTGTGTGTATAATATATTTTATAAGATATTTTTAATTTTTGATGAGTATATTTGAAGCTTATAACGTTTATGTCATCGTACAGGAAAATATGTGAGACTCTAAGTAAATTTTGGTTCACACGAAAGCTATAGAGGGTTATAAAAGGGGGTATAACTCTCAGTAAGTGTTCCGATCCCAGTTGTATGATGATATGGCAACGATACTACCAGGGTCTACTTTCCAAGTGTATTGTCAACCCAGGTAAAAGTTGTCATTCTGAACCATCACGAACCTCTCCGAGAAAGATTTCTATTACGAGTGTGGAGTTTGGCCTTATAGCCATAAGGTCTGATTGGTAATTTGGGAAGTCGACCCTTAAATGCGAATCCCCGTTTGAATCTAACATGCTGTCCAGGCGATCTGGTACTCGTATAACTTTTACATCACCAGAATCCGGAATGAAAGACCCGAGAATGATACCGTTGTTCTTAATCTCGGAGACGTAATCATTGTATTTAAACGAGATATGAGGTGCGGTGAGGGTCTTGTTGATCAACCATTCGGGCTCTTTAAAGTCTGCTAACGGCACCCGCCCGTACACGTTGTCTTTTAAGTGTAGGAAGTACAAGGTGTTTTCTTCACCGGCCTGATCGAATCCCTCCGTGTCTCCCAGATCACCAAGCATGACGTTGTGATGACGACTGTTCATTGTCTATATAAACTGTTATAAAATAGTTTCCAATTGTTTTTCTGAAAATTTCTCAGGGGTGCACTTCAACCCCATAAAATGTATGACGAGGGAATATTTTGGTGAGCGATATCGTGTCTCCCACGCTAATGGTGACTCCCTGAAGACTTGTGTAGGAATCGACCTTCACCCACACGTAAACAGAACAAACATGATATTGATGTTGTTTGGTCCACCGGAGTTTGATTCCTTTCACGATTTCGACTTCGCCCTGCAATGGTTCACGAAGGTAGACTTTGATGACCAGCGTGGAATTCGTCAGTAGACTTTCCAGGATGTTGACCAGGCTGTCAAATTCACCCACCACCTGCAACACCGCCTTTTGCTCCCCCGGGTTTATTCGATAGCATGTGGGCTGCCATACTCGAGAGTGGACTGATGATTGCACTGCGCCTATGCGTCGGGACGTAAGCCACGAGCAGGGTTCCGTTGTTCACGACTTTGTTTAGGTAGTGGTCTTTGTTTTTTCTGTGAACACGTAGGGAGAGCCGAGCGTGATGTTGAGAAACCAGTGTGTTAAAATCCATTTCTTGTCGTCGGTGAAGACAAAGGCATACTGCTTGTTTTGAACGACGACCGTGGTCTCGACATCGTTTAAGTCAAACAGCTTCCCGCCGAACGCTGGGTATATCATCCATTGATCCTCGTCATTGAGGACTAGGTCGCACCGAGTGTGGCTGACAGCTCTTAATGTATGGACAATGTCGTCTAAGTTACTGCCAGATCCACTGATGGCGGGGACTTCGACGTGTTTGTAAATATTGTTTTTCAGTTGTAAGGCATACAGTTTACCGTCTATTCATGGTTCGTCGAATCCCCGCGTGTCCCCGAGGTCAGAGACAGCTATATTAACGCATTTTTTTAATCGCATGGCCGTTCCGGGACCTTGGGCGCTAGTCATTATCGTATGTGCAGCGTCACACTGAGGTATCCTATATTCACAGGATTAGGTTTTATATCTAAAACAGATACTTTCAATTCCGTGATGGTGCCTCGGGTTAATTTCTTGTACTGCCGTGACGAAAATGATTCGGTTCTGCCATCGTTATACTTTTCCGTTTTCATCGGTACGGCTCTCAACAGCGTGGAAAGGCATTCACCTTGAACGTTGTCCGTCGTGCTCAGCTGATCGACATGAATGCACAGTTCATGGTACAGAACAAGATCGGGTAATTTCGTGCCAGTCACAGTGGTGTTTGGTGGAATGTCGTTCGAAGTAAACCTGAGCGTTTTAGTCAATGGCTTACTGAGTCTCAAGTCGGTTTTCCCCATTGCTGGCTAACACGACCGTGCTGTTCGAGTAATTTATTTTGAGTTTGGCTCCCACGGGTTTGAAGATTTCTTCGTTGAGAGAGCACACAGTGTAGTAGCCGTCCCTTATTTTGTTGCATTTGTCGTTGACGAACAGCCTGTTGTTTTTGCTGTTGATGTTGGTCCTTCGGGGTAGTAGGTGACATCGCAGAGTGCGACTTCGAGTTGGCCGGACGTGTTGAATGGCCTCACCGCTTGTTATTCACGGAAGCGTCACGTACATATTGAAAGTATATATTATATATTATATAACAATTCAACATATACAAACCGGGAGTGTTTTATTCTAAAAGCAATAACGTAAGCGCTTCCAATTTCATACACATGAAGATCGTGGTCGATGCAGGTGGGTTGCATTTCAAAGCACCATTTATCGATGTGTTTAAAATTTACAGGTTTTCGTTAAGATGGGACACGTTTGGTTTAACAACCCGATGCAGTTCTGGCAGAATCAATTCAATTTTGCCGTGTGGTGCGCTACAACAGGGTGCGGTGTGACGTTGAGCGACACTCAACGTGGCCCACTGAGTCAGTCTGTGTTTATGTTTCATGTGTACTACCAGATCAGGCGTATCCTCAAAGAAATTATCGCTCTGCTTCCACAGGACAAAGCATGGGATGGGGTAAACAATCCATACGATCGACGGGCATACGAAAGAATTTGCAATGAATTTCAAATCGATCCGAACACAGATTGGCGATTGCCAGATGTGAATCACGGTTTGGGTATTCCTATCGTTCACAATATGCCTCTCATGGAAGCCAGCAAGAAGTTGAAAGAATGGGGTGGTAAAACGTAAGCACGTGCTTACAAGTGGAGAGATGAACTCATGGCTTTCGATGACAGCAAGGATTTTCGCGTTGGGAGGTTTGAGCAGGGGTCTGCAGACAATTGGAAAATGTTCATGCTGGACACGTCGAGAGGGTTCACTCATGCCGGTACCGAACGCTTGAATGACTCGATTCGAACGTATGTGTGGGTGCTGCTGGGAGCACAGACGCAAACGAGTTCTGACATCATGGGTAAAGGGACGGCTTACGACACGCAGAAACAGTTCGTGGTCAACGTCGAGGATGCTATCAATGCTCCAGTTGATCTAACGAGTGCTATCCAACGCTACCAAAACGTGTTGGAATATGCCCTGTGGAAAGTCGACTACGTGTTTGGAGTGGGACAGTACATGGCCCCGAGCGACATGCAACTGAGAATCCATAAAGTGGTGGGTTACAACAACGAAATAGTCATCGCCACGACCGATCAAAAGTTGGATATCAGTGAAACGGGTACAGTGGTGTCATTCCTAGAGCCAAGGGTTCGACCAGCACCCACACCACAGCCCCTTCCACCACACAAGGTGGCTGAAAATAAAGAACACCTCGATCGTATACAGCGCTAGTGGTTGTTGGGATCGCGGTCGGGGTCTGCCTCATTTGGTTAAAAATTCCTTGGCGGCCACGACACCAGCCTGGCCACGGCGATGATGAACGCCCACAGGTTTTGACTGAGCCACGTGACAGTTTTTGACAGAGTACTCAGTAGCCATGAGTATCCTTGTCTCTGACGTCGCCAACACTTGGTGGGGGTTTGGGGTGTGGGTGTACCTCAATCCCCGTCAGCGCTACGACCAGGGTTGATATGATGAAGCCCAATGCTGTAAGAATGCTGGCGATGGTGATCCGTTGCTCTCGGAACAAAATTGGGATACTGTCGGCCAACGTGGTGTCTTCATTCAGGACTTGATCAATGGTTTCCTGCACGCGGCTGATTTGGGACCAAAGCTGTTCTCGATTCGAGGAAGCAGATTCCAATCGAGTCCGTCTCTCATCTTGTAAGTTGTCAATGATGGTTTTCAGAGACTCGTCATCTTTGACCTGACTTAGTGTAATTTTCTCGGGAGCGATGTGCTCATCGATTTCGTTCAGTTTCCCCTTATTGTTCACGAGTTTTCCACGAATGGTTCACAATGCCCTGTCTAGCCCTTGCAGTTCTTGAACAGGAAATTCGAAACCCGGCAAGGGCTCGTTCCAGTACGTGCCCAACAGTTTTTCGATGCTGTCCGACGTTTCTTTAGCAGGTTGCTGAGTTCGGCCCTGACGTTTTGCAGATCACGAACTACTTTCGGTGGAAGTTGTTTGGGCCATGCACCGCCGTAATCTCACATGTTTAATTCATCGCGGATCAGTTGCCCACCATGACGACTGGCTAGCGTAGACAAGGCAAACGGTTTTCTCGTGTGATTGCTCATGAGATCGGGAACTGGTTTTGTGTGCCGCTCGACTTTGAGCTGCTCACGGGACAAGTGCAGTTTTACCAGGCCGCGCTGGGCAATCGGCGGGAATACGAACTCACGTTTTATGACTACAGCAAAGTCGTGCGTATGTCGAACGGCGATGATGGTAGTTACACCATCGACAACATCTCGCTGGAGTTCGACATGGTCACGAGTTCGGAGCTGGCCCGGCAGATTCGAAACCAGTACTCGGGGAAGCTGTCCATCCTGTATGATAGGGTCCTATGGCATAGAATGAAAGTATGGGACAAGAGCGTCACGTTGTGGAGCATCAGCTTGAACGTGCTGGCATCTTGATCATTCCAGTGGAGGAATACGTACCATTCGAAAGAGACAGCAAAAGGTTTTGCAACCCCGAAATCACGAAAGTGGAAGTGACCATCGAGGTGGAAGTGACCATCGAGGGCGTGCCCAACCAACTGTTCAGCCAAGGCATGAGGCCATACCAGCAATGGGACGAGATAAGAAAGCTACCGACCATCAAACAACACCCACTGGAAGTCAACAACGTCGCCAAGGACCTGGATCTATCCTCCTTGCAGATTGGGGAATACCTGACCACCAAGTACGTGCTGTGGTTGGACATGCGATCCACGGATGACGACAGGCTACACGACAGCGGACGCCGCGTCGACAACGGCAGCGAGGGGATCACCATCCAAATCGCCAAGAAGGCTCAAACCTATATTTGTATTATATTTGTACGTGATTATGGACGCGCAGCTTAATAAAGACAATGGAAGATTCGTGAAATTATTGATCTACCTTGCGATCCGCACTGTGCTATAGTGTGCAGACAGATTGGCTGTGGGAAGACCGTTTTCGTGCTGAATATACTGAGATACTACCGGGATACCTTCGATAAAATGGTTATCATGTGCCCTACTCATCAACAAAACATACACGGAAAGATCTTGGGTGAGACGGACCCGGACGTGTACAAAGTCGACCTGGGAACATGTCTGCAGGATTGGCTGAAAGCTTATCACAACAAATTTAAAGGGGAGTCGACGCTGTTTATCCTGGACGACTCTAGCGCTAATAAAGAGATAACAAAAAGGAGAGACATGCTATTGTATTTAGCGTTTTCTGGCCGACACACAAAGCACAGCGTTTGGGTGCTAACGCAGAAATTCAACTTGGTGTTGAAAGACCTCAGGGAACAGACGCGATGGGTTGCATTACTTCACTGCAAGGACAGGCATTCGTTCGAGGAATGTTTGAGAGAAAACGACGTGATGAGCAAACTAGAACGGGAATGAGTGAAAAAACAACTCGCCAAAACGAAACACATCAAACTCGTGCTGAAAACCGACCAACCCTTGGCTTTTCGAGTGTTTTAGTTTAGCAAATGCTTAGCAAATTCTTAGCAACGCTTAGCAAATGTTTAGCAATGCTTAGCAAATGCTTTATTTTTTTGGATGGTAACATTGTGTCGTGAGGTATGATCAATAATTCCTCTCTGACGAAACGTCTCGGCGGCCAACATTTCAAATAGTACAAGTTCAGTTCGTCGTCTTTGATGTCCACTTTGTCTACGTTGTGAGTTTCGACCGACAATGTAGGATCGGTGGCTCGTTTCTGAGTGGCTCCTTCGTGTTCTCACGAGAGCCTAGTCGGGTATCTGTTTCTCTTTCCCACATGACGGTGCAGCTGATTCAGCTTTTACTGATTTCAATTTAATAGCGTTGGCTGTTTTTTTATCGGTGAGACTAGTGATTTCGTGATTGATAGCCAACACCACTTGAGGTAGTCCCGTGACCCGTTCGGTGTTGGGGGTGTTTAGACTTATTTCTTGTGCGTAATGATGCCCGAATAAGCGCTCGGCCAAAGTCCTATTGAATCTCTCGACTATGGCTTGACTGTGATGAGCTCCGGCCGCTCCTCGTCTGACTTGGATGCCGTGCTTGGCTAGCAGTTGTGACACGGCACCCATGAACTCCCGGCCAGGATCGACTTGCAGCTCAGTGGGCCATGTCAGCAGACTGCGCTTGTATATGCGCTCGAATCCGTGGGCTATCTGGGTCGAGTCTTTCGCGGTTAAGGGTTCCGCTTCTTTGTAGTGGCTGGCCACGTCAACGACGGTTAGGGCATAGTTGTATGTTTTGTCGTGGGGTAGAAACAGGAGGTCGGCTTGGTGAACGGGATTGGGCATCGACACGTCAAATTTTCTTCTAGGTACGTAGCGTGGTGCCGGTAGGTAGATTTGCCACAGGGCTTGTTTTTCCAACCACCTTTGGCTTCGTTTTGTGATACTCTTGTTATCCCGGCAAGCTTGTGTATGGCGCTCATGCTTTTCCAGTACCCACGCCGGCTGTAATAAATGTTTTCAAAAAAATGTTTATGTTGTGACATTATATATTTATATATTTATTGTTTTATTTCAATTTTTCATGTCCGTACGCGTACGTGTTGATTCCGTCAATGGCAATCCAGCATTTCGTGTCCATCGGCGACAGGGACGTTTTGTTTATCGTCAGTCCGTATATCCTGTGTCCGTCACTTCTCAGTGTATTCATTTGATGTTTGAAAGTGCGAGTCTTGAACAGGGCTTCCTTGAATCTGGCGTGTTTGATTTGTTTTTTCACCACATATATTTTAACGCCTTTCGCTTTTCTGATTTCATTATCGTCTGCTTTCAGGATGGAATACATTTTGGGTCTCAAGCCGATGTATTCTGCAAATGGTGTTCTGGCGCATTCGTCTTTCATCTTGCCGAGCATTTTTTTATTGATTGTGTCATGCATCGGGTGGTCCTTGGGGTAGTCACTGGTGTCGTACAAATCGATGTGTTTGTCATGTCCTCGTACACGTCATAGGTTCGAATTTCCATCAACAGGGAGTCCGTGTCCGTGTACAGCACTTCACACCATTCGCCGTACTGTTTCTTCAGTTCGTTGTAGTAAAAGTCATACATCAGGTGTTTGGATAAGTCAAGGATGCTCATCCCCACGTAAACAGGTCGGTTGAATTTAATGTGGCTTTTTCTCATGTGCAACGCTACCAGATCGTCACTGAATATCTTGCTCCAGTTGTATGCCGGGCTGGCTATCAGTTTCCTGAGCTTATCTTCCTCTTTCGACCGGACTAGCTTCACGGTCACGCGTTTTCAAGTTCTCCATCGTCTTACCGAACACCGAGTTGTTCATGAGCTTGTACAGGTTTTTCTCGAAATCACTGTTGGCCCGCTTTCGCAAGTCCGTGTTCATTTTAATGAAGGGCTCCATCCACAGACTTTGGTCGAACTTGAGCACACTATGAATCCTTTAAGATGATTCGCAATCTTAATTTCACTTTATTTGATTAACTTTTATGTTTAAAGTGAAATTCATCGGTACGCTTACACTTTAAGCAGACTATAATCTGGTTACTTTAAGACTCTTTCATGAGCGTCTGTCGTGATCTCTGATTTTCAGAGAACCGTCCATATAAACACAGCGCTATTTATAAATTTGTCCCAGCAGATACCGACTTATTGCAAAGCTAGTTTACCAACACGTAAGTAAATTGGGTAATCATGTCAGCTATTTTTAACAAAAATGAAAACAAAACAATGATATGATTTGAAGAATAATTAATTTCATCAATACATAAGAAAAGTGATTAGTCATCTTTCTCATCGGACTCTTCTTGCGACTGTGTTGGCTTCTGAAAAATCCCACATAGAAATTCTATAAATATTTACTGTCCCTTCACTCTTTATAATGCTAAATTTCTGTTAAATAATGTTTCTGTGTCGTGAAACTACGTTGAAGAGTACAAATTCCCAGCAGTATTTATCGAAAACTTACAAAAAGTACAGATAAGTACAGTTCAATCAATCTAGACCATTAATAATATGCAACAGGAATTTATTAGCAACTAAATAAAAGCAATTGGTCAATTTGTGCAACTGATTTTATCTGGTTATATTGTATGATACTTTCCCAAAATATGGGCGTCATTTACAGAAGAAAGTTGTTACCCGCAGTAGTTTTACCGGACTGAATATTCTGTCTTTCTTACAGTTGACCAAAATTATTAATGATTAGTTGCCTTTTAATGGCAGGATAAACTTCTATGTAAAAGTATTTCTTCATGACACATCTTAATTTCTAGTCACTAGGAAGTGACGTATAGTTTACGCTATGACATAACGAACTGGTGCCACCGACTCGAATGTAATATTATCCCCAGATTTCCTGTACATTGCGGATAAGCAAGAGTGTCTACGTGACCGAATCTGTGTGAACAGATTGGCTACGGGGAAGAGGAAACAGGGAAAATTACTATGCTTGAAAACATGTTTACATTTTGGTCATTTAATAAATGGTAATATCATAGTTAAGTTAATAGTCAACGTTTGTGTGCAATTTAATTGATACCACTATGCACTCTACATTATTTGCAAACACAGACATGCAGTTACATAGTTTGGACATCAATGTGTATTTATTAATTGACCACTCTGGAAACCCAAAACACAGGTTTTCTCATTTGCTTGTACTATTGATTTTGATCTGGTGAACATTGATGTTCATATAGTAAACAAAAACACTCATTCTAACATTGTGACTGTACAAATTGACGTTTCAGATCAAAATGTAAATTGTTCCGGCTTGCCGGAATGACACGAGTAGTTATGAATGGAACAGAGATAGTTTTCAAAGATAAACATCATAAGAAGGTAAACAACATTACCTGAGAAATCTGATTATGTGAGGAAGTGAAATGTTAGGGGCCATAAGGTTTCCTGTTATGGTTGTCTTTTGAATGAATCTATTAATATATGTTTGCATGTTCACCTTGGATAAGCAGGCATGGCTGTATCCTACATGATACACATGATACATACAGCATTAGGACATAACGTGGACGTGTGCACGAAACAATCACGTTTTTCCTTATGTGGAACAAAATAACATGTTTAAATAACTTAATATCAATACTTGAAAATATACAATCATTTTTCTTACACTGAATGTATAACTCTCAAAATATTTGCTGAAATGTTATGCCATTATGAGGCCTTTGCCGAGCTAAACAGCCCAGAGTTACCCCTTTTTGATTAAGGCGTAATTGTTGCCAAATGATTTAGACAGCTGGTCTCATTCTATTGTGAACGCTTATCTTTTGTTTTCAATCGTATACAAAAGGTTGATAAACTGTTTCCTCTTTCCTGTTACTGAAATCTGCATATTTTAGAAAGTTCAGGGACGAGGAACGAGGAACGAGGAAAGAGTCCCTTGATCGATAGTATTTGTAAAGAACGAATTGACGTCAACATACTGAAATTCCAACAAGGATGTAACGGGCACTAAATACAGCCCCAAATTCCAATAAGCCATGGTAACATTATAGTTACAACTGATATTTGACAGTCAGTTCAGGATAACCCTGATAATTGAGTACTATTCCTGTATATAAACAGCAAACATGATTCATACTTCATCGGTATCTTGTGAAATATGTCAATTGCATTGAAAAAAGACACGTGTATTGCATATAAATATGTGAAATATGTGACAAATATAGTTTACGATTTACTATTATATTACAGACGATAATTTGATCGCCCTGTCGCTATTTGTTTGAAGACAAAATTTGTCAATTTATAAAGTCTACATTGGTGCAAAATTATGAACATTTATCGACTGATCGCAAGTGTTTTCACGGTTTATTTATCTGGGTTTAAAAGATAACTAATTTATTTGCAACTTAATATCGCCAATTTTCCTGCACAAATTGCAGAACTTATTACATGATCGATTGTATAACTGTATGATCTTTTTGAGGTTGAGGTTGAAGGAGTAATTTCTCATGAACTTACTTACTTCAACATGGACAGTAGTGATAATGACCGAACTGTTGTTGTTAAAAATATCATATTCATGGTTTCAAGACCAAGCAAACACGATTATTAAAGACTAACAAACATTGGGCCTTTCGTGGCACTTTAATACTAGGTAAGATTGACTAACGTAACTGAACTTTGAGTAACTGATGTAATTTTTTCAATCCGTATTTTGTATGTTAAAAGATGGTTTAGGGCAACAGAAAGGGCTTACTCTGTCAACCCCCCACACAGGCATGTTTCTATAGCCTTGATATTTGGACCATTTCTTCAGTACACAAAAATGCTCGCAGTGAGAAGGTTAGTTACTGGTTCCTCGTGATAAAGTTGTTGGTCAGCAACCTTTATTATACAAGATAATAGTAATAGCAGATAATGCATTATTATGTAAAATCTATGGCAACACAAATATTTCAGTGTCACTTACGTCGCTGATCAAGAGGCGGTGGGGTAGCCTAGTGGTTACAGCATTCACCCGTAATGCCAAAGATCCAGGTTCGAATCCCCATATGGATACAATGTGGGAAGCCCTTTTTCTGGTGTACCCCGCCGTAATATTGCTGGGACATTGCTAAAAGCAGCGTAAAACTAAACTCACTCACTCACACATCGCTGATCACGTGGAATCTTGACACACTTCCTATTGCTGATAGACCCTAAGGGACAAAGAAAACAAAGACAATGTGCATTATGTTAGCAGGTTTCAAAGTCGTTTGACATGCGACAATATTCGATTGCGCATTATACTTTTTACATCTTCCATTTCAATTAACGTTGCATTTGCCATTTAAACACCCAATTTAGAGGACTGAAAACAACTTACAAATGTGATGTGCGTTCATAAAAGCTTTTTTACTCTTTCAGTGTGTTTAGTATCATTCTCTATAATAAGTTCTGCATCGTCGTAGTGTGATCTAAATGTTCGTATTGGGGCGTGGCTTTTGCTAGCAAAGTCGAGAACCGTATACTAGGTATGTAAGGATTGGTTGCTGAGATGTTCGATAGGAATTTGGGGACTACTTGGATTTACGATCATCTGTCTGTTAACATCGACGTTTCAAGGCCTCGTCATTGGACTCTCAGTAGCTGCCAGCAATCTTCAATCAGTACGTTGACAAAAATCAAAACTCCGGCAACTATAGACATATAACTAATATTTAGCTATTTGTGACCCAATAGTATTGTATTAGGAATCTGTACTGTCATTCATTATAACCTAGCTCATTGTTTAATTTGTCTGTGTTTTATTTTGCTGGTTTAAAGGGGACTCACAAATTCTTTGTCACGGCAATGTCTAAACTGTAACAGAATATGTACTTATTCGATTCGGGACCGACCAATCCCATGAGTGCCATCATTAGCATCAGTGTACGGAAGCTCGATAACCCGATTCCTCACTGATCTGTAAAACGTTAACATGCATTCTATCTGTCTGAATTACTAAATTAATGTGGTATTTTACTGAGCTCACAACTTGCTGGACAATAGTTTAGATGAATTCCCGTAACTAGCGCCTATAAAAAGAGCCCCTATAAACTGTTTAACCTGTTTGACGTGATTACCGCTTTAGGTGAATATGTACAGGCACGTTACTATAAGTTTTTTGAGTGACGCTGTGTGTACTTATGTTCAGCTCAATTACAGGATGGTTTTTGACATCAGCTTACGCGTCCCCATATCATTTCTCAAGACATGCTATACTGGGACCAGGCTTTAGACTCGTGGCAGGCCATAGCATTCTGGGGACGTAGTCGTTGGTGGGTTGGTTGCACCTCAGTAGGATAACTTATTACATAACCATGAATATTACTGCACGTCTTCATACGCAGTGGAAGATGATCAGAATCAGTACGACAATCTACAGCAAAACCCCAAACAAGATTAAACAGATATGATGAAACAATGAAATATGCGCTAACACTACTTTCATTCTTGGAAATATACGTATATACACCTATGGTACGATCAGAGCCACATCGCTCATTAACAATGTTCATATATATCATTATTAATGCAGAAATGTAACAACTTCTTTCCATAAGGAATGTTTCATCTTTTTATACTCGGGTTAAACAAAAAATGATCTTCAGAAACATCCTGTTCCTGTCCTGAGCGTGCATTAAAATCACTACAAAGAATACAATCACTTATGTATATTTCTTATATATGTCTGACAACTTAGTGTCCAGTTCATCTATATTACCGCACTGGTCATGTAGCTGGTGCATAGGTGAAGTCATAGGTGGTATATTTACACCTCCAAGTAAAACATCTGTCGGAAGTCGGTATAACTGTTCGTTTTAATGTTAAGAATACAAGGTTTGAATAATTGGACATAGTCGGAAATACTTTTCCGTATCATAACACATGTACCTCCCATACATCTCCCAAAATGGGCAATTCGCCTACCAAGCGAATGTAAACAAACAAAATCGTCCACAAGCTGATCTAAACAAAAGATAATATAAAAAATATTCAAGTACATTTTAATTTCATCCAGATTCAATTTCGACAAAAGGCCTGCAACATTCCAACTGCCTAATCTGAGTGTTGAAATACGTTTCTGATACAACTCTGCGCCTCGCCCCGCCCCGCCCCCCCCTCTGAGTTCGGACTCGTGAAGGTCCGGGTTAGAATTGATCTTCAGTAACCCATGCTTGTCAGAGGAAGCGACTAACGAGATCGGGTGGTCAGGCTCGCTGACTTGGTTGACACATGTCATCGGTTCCCAATTGCGCAGATCGATGCTCATGCTGTTGATCACTGGATTGTCTTGCCAGACTCGATTATCTACAGACCGCCGCCATATAGCAGGGGTATTTTCGAGTGCGGCGTAAAACTAAACTCACTCATTCATCCCTGAATTTCGCGAGTAGATGATTCTCTCCTCTTGTTAGCGTTGTGTCTACCAGCCCAACTGGTCAGTGTTGGTTTAGTTTCAGTTGGTCGAAACTCACTAGTCGCTGAACACTGCACATTAGGAACACGATCACAATCATCAGTAAACTGTACCACAAACTCCTATCACTGATAGGAGCACTCACACCATCCTCACTCACACTGACGCCTTGTCCTGTTGACCTGTCCCTTTTACTGGTATAGGCACACTATCCATGGCCTCCGGCCCCTTTGGCTGTGTCGCTATTCTTTAGTCTCACGATATGACCCCCATCACGGGTCAGACGAAAACTGAATGAGTTTCTGTCCCGTAGACTAGCTCTCATGATTACCTTTGAACTCATAGACACATGGCCTCCCTGAAGCGTCCATGACTACCAGCTTGCCTCGACTGTAGTAGGCGGCCTTACCTTCCTGCCGTGCTGCGTTCATCTCCTTCCACTGGCGTCTTGTCATATCTGCAGCAGTCCCAACACCTCTATCCCTGAGGTCCATTTCGCGCCAAACACTCTTTCCACATCGTCAGGGTGGGTGGATCTGGGGATAACTGCTTTGGGCCGTCCATCCTCTGAGCGACAACCAGCACGGCGCGCCCTTAAAATATCCCTCATCAGCCATACCTCATCAGTCACGCATTCACTAAGAATAGACAAGATTTTGTGCCGACTCCTAAATGGAGTCTCGTCCTCTTCTTCAGGTATTCCAAACAAGCGAACATTTCCTTTCTGCTGTTGGATTCCAGCCTGTCTAGCTCTTTCGTGAGTCCTCTCACCTTATCTTCCATTGCACTGATTTGTCTGTTCTATTGGTCACCTGCGTATGGAGATCCAGACTTAAAACATTAAAACATTTGCCTCTTCCTGTAAGCCTTGCACATCGGCAGTCACAGTGGTCACATTTGTGTCTAATCTATCAACTGACTCTATTATGTTCTTGAAATCAGCACTTAATTTATCAAATCCGTCTTTAAATTCTTCTACACTTTCTCAACAAGTTTAAACTTGTCATTTAAATACCTTTTAGTTTAATCACTTCGTTTGTCCATATGTTCTGTCATTTGTGTAAAGAGCTTTTCCAGTTCTGCTTGGCTGACTGGACTGGGGTTCTGTTCGACATTTCCCGCACACAACATCTTACCACATGTAAACAAACAGGTAGCTCGGGTCAAAATTGTCGGGTCATGATGGCCCCACGAGATTCATCCCGTCCTGTATATGACTGATAGGGTAGTATCGGCTCAATATGACGATGCCCCCGAGGATGTCTAAAACACCCAGTTCGGCATCTAAACAACTCCAACGATATCCCCTTGTTCAGCGCAACACTCACGTCCTATTTGAAGCCGTCGCACCATTCAAAATTAAAGAAAAGAGAAAAATTGTTTGACAGATCGGGAGTGGGGGTAGCCTTTTTGATAAAGCGTTCATTCGTAACGTCAATACCCGGGTTCAATTGTCCACAAAATTACAATGTACAATATGTGTGAAACCCATTTTGGTGTCCCTCGCCGTGAGTGGCGTTAAACCATACTCACCCACTTACTCACTTAGATACCTACAGATTGCAAAATGAGCTGGAATGCTTAGTGCCCTGAAGAACAAGCTGACATTCTTGTTGGATTGACGACGTGGTTGTATGTAGTTCATGTGTTACCTTCATATCCTTATAACGTTCACTATGTTTACAGAACTGGACATGGACTGTAACTGGTTGCGCCATGACGGATGGAGATCGTAAGTATCTGACATTATCATGAAACACGAACCCGTGAAAGTCCGTGTTAGAACTGGTCCTTAGTGTCCCGTCGTAAGAGGCGACTAATTCATCGGGTGGTCAGACTCGCCGACTTGGTTGACACATGTCATCGTATCCTAATTGCGTAGAACAATGCTCATGCTGTTGGTCACTGGATTGTCTGGTCCAGACTCGATTATTTACAGACCTCCATATAGATGGAATATTGCTGAGTGCGGTGTTCAACAACAAACAAACAAAACAAAGTACATCCTATGGTCTACGAAATGTATCGAAACCCACACAAATTTACTCTTTATAATTGCTCCATCTGCTCACAGTTTGCCTAAAAGGTAATTATCTATTTGTTGACGTCTCACAGCAGTGTTCCTGACATGATCCTGTTACCTGTAGGCAAACCAGACAATCAAGTGATCGGTCGATCTGAATTCCAAGTGTGACGATTTTATTATTTTGAAGAAACAAAACATTGTGGGTTGTTGGTGGATATTAAAATATTAAACAACCGGCTCATATTTTACCCTGTCCACAGACGTGTTGTAATGATCACATTACAAATAAGTTAAACAGGAAGATGACCTAAAAATTGAAACACCATGACCAAGTGAATGTGTATTTTAGAAATCAGTCAAATCTCACGGCCAAAAACTATGAATACACAATGCCATTTGATCACTTCCTAAATTGCATTGTGTATTCATAGCTTTCGGCCGTGGGAGCCGCGCCAATTTACACTTATCAGAGGGGTACACAAAGTGGTGGTCAAAACTACCTGTTGCCAGACTTCCATAATCTTGAAATGTGTTTCAATTTGAGAACATTGACCAAACAGTCAATACTGGAAGTCAGGTCACCCTCGTGGCAACCGTCTCCCAGAGTAACATCCTGGCAGGACAGTGGTATAAGAACGGAGCAGTATTGGCGCTGTGAACTCTCGCATACAGGCGTCAGTGAATGGGCAGTCTCAGATTCTGAGCATCTCAAATGCCCAGACATCTGATGGTGCAACGTGCGAATACAGAGTTGATGGACTATCTACAAGTCCTGACAGTTAATGTTCCAAAAGGTGGGTATGTGCCCAGCCACAATGTCGTACGACTCTTTTAAAGTCCATTTCGGTCAGTCGGATAGACGGCTGACCTTGTGTGCTGGCGATTGGTGCCTGACTCTTGAGGGTGTAGGTTCGAATCCCGGATGGGACTCAACCCAACATAAGCACTAAAATCTGTACTTTACTGAGAAAGTGTAATCTCAAATATATCATGTGTTACAGAATTGTAATGATTTTCTTTTTGATAAAATGGAACTGTAATGACTTTTTTTCTCAGATATGTTTGCTTGGGCATTCTTTCCATTGTAATGAAAAGGTGATTTACAATATGGCCAATTTATGTAAGGTTCTCTAATCTTGATTCATTTGTGTATTGACTATTACCATATCTGTATTTTAGGTTCCTGAATTATGATAAAGAATGACATTTGCCATTTGCCTTCCATACATAACTGAAGCTGTATTCTTAAGAACTTTCATATGTTTTTATGGTCTTTTTGCAGATTGTGAGACCTGCTCAGAGTTTTTGAGATATAAAGATGATTTCCACCTACCCGAGGACAGTGTGTTGCTCATTGAAGCAGCTGTTTAACTTGTTTGTATGTGCGTTTCTAGTAGAGGTTCTAGATGAGTTTCGTTCAATAGATTCTATTAGCATGTCTTCTTCGTCGTTATTAGCTGCAGAATCATGGGGCTCTGCCCGTTTGTCACGCTGCTCATTTTCAGAATCAGTTTCAAGTGGTTGGTTCCTGGCTCTTAATCTTTTCTGTAATTCTGCCAATGGTATGTAGTACTCTTCTTCTGAATCTGATCGTTCTTGACGATACCGCCTTTAATCAGTGATGACTGTATCTGACTCTTCACTGCTGGACTCTTCTGGAGGAACAACATATTGGGCCTTCCCTCTGGGCCTACCTGTTGCATCCTTGGGAATTTTCCAATCATTTATTTTTGCTATCCGCAAATGTTCTGCATGTGCTTTCGTTACTGTGCCATCTAGTTGATTCCGAATGATGAATGTAACAGCTGATGGCCGCTCAATTACTCGGTAGTATGGCTTCATCTGGATTGTAATTTGCTTTTTCGTTGCTGATGGCTGTAATACACGGGATCACCAACGTTTATCTCAATTGGCTTTCTGCATCTGTCAGGATATTTTGCTTGCCTTTTCTTTGCCCTTCTCATATGTCTATGTACCAACAAAAAAGACTTGTGTTGCTGTTGCAGGGCAATTTTATGTTCCTCCTCCCCATGGTATCTTTTCCTGGGTTTTAGAAGGTTGTCCAATGGTAGGACAACATCCCGGTTGCATAAGAGGAAGAAGGGTGAGAATTTGGATGACTCACATATGTTGAACCGGATTGCTGCTAAGGTCTGGTTCAAGTACAAATCCCAAGTAGTTAGATCATTATCCAATTTCTTCGCCAGGACATCATGCAGTGTCCTATGGAAACCTTCTACTCTCCCATTGGCTTGAAGGTGGTAGAAAGAAGTCGTCACATGGTGAATTCCTAACGTGGCAAGAATTTTCTTTACGACATGATTCACATTTTCCGTACCATTATCGGTGACAATCTCCAGTGGAGGGCCATGTCGAGGAAATATTTCTTCAATTAGCAGGTGAGCAATGGTTTCAGCAGTCTTGTCTGGTACTGCAAAAGCTTCCGGCCAACCGCTATTATTATCTACAAATCCCACAATGTACTTGTTTCCTGACAGAGTGGTTGGGTAAGGGCCCGATAGATCCATGCTTATTTTCGCAAATAGATAGGGAGGTACATAAGTTTCTTGGAGGGGTGGCTTCTGTTTGCGTAGAGATCAGTCCTGGCAAGTGATACAACGGGAAACGTAGTCATAAATATTTCTATAATCGCCAGCGGCTGAAGGGATGGTGTAAATCCAGCTAGGGTCCATGCAAGTGGCAAAGGTACTGTAAGTCCACATGGTCCCTAGTATGGTGGCACCCGTGAAGAGCCACCTCCTCATGATACACCCAAAACAACTTAAACGTACTTTAGATAATAGTACATCTTCTGATGATGATACTGTTTCTAACAGCAAATCTGATTATTGGTCACGCTTTTTGGTGATTTCCTCCTCGGATGATGGTCCATTGAAGCTGTATCTTTCAAAAGCAATTCATGGTATTGCTGGTGATGTTGTCACAATGAAAAATATGCGATCTGGCTGTATCTTGATTGAATGTAAGTCTGAATTTCAATCAGCTACGCTCTTGGCACTCAAACATCTCGCTTCAATACCTGTTATTGTGTCACCACACAAAACTTTAAACATCTGAAAAGGCATTGTCAGAGACCGAGAAGGTTGTCTTGCAGATATGTCTGAAGATGATATGGCTTTTGAATAACAAGACCAGGGTGTGACGGGTGTAAAACGTTTCACAAGTAGGCAAAATGGTCAAATAGTAAAGTTAAACACCTATCTATTAACCTTTTCTCTTCCTGTTCAACCAACATACATTAAGGCGGGTTATTGTAACATCGGTGTGGATAAGTACATTACTAATCCACTTCGGTATTATTCATGTCAAAAGTTTGGTCACGGTGCCCAATCATGTACCAACAGAAAGAAATGCCATCGATTTGGCGAACCTGCTCATGAAACGTTAGGCTGCCCAAACAACCCAAAGTGTGTAAATTGCTCTGGTGATCACGCAGCTTCTTCTAAATCATGCCCTCTCTGGCAACTACAATACAAGGTAGTTAAAATGAAACATGAAAAGAATATTTCTTTTTCAGAAGCTAAGCGTTTGGTGATGTCAGCTAATACTCCAACTGCAGCTGTGTTGTACTCTGCAGTAGTCACACGTCAAACTACCAAGTCTTCATAAATCTGTTGAGTGCAAGACAAATATCACCTGGGTTGATTCTGTTAAATATTCACTATGTGACAATCAAATTGTTGCTTCTACACAAACAAATCAACATCCCGTCCAAAATCTTGTTCACCATCACCTGCTGTGGTCAATGCCAGCAAGTCCATTAACTATTCAAAAAAGTCGGATCGAGTGCCTAAAGGTCAAAAGAATCCTGTACAAGTATTTAACAAATATCAGATTCCAGAAGATATGGATGTCACCCCCAATCACCGTGAGCGTCACGAAAGTCATTCGCCACGTTCTCGGAACAGATCCCCTGAATTACTACCTAATGTCACATGAATATAAGTAATACGCTTATCCAGTGGAACTGCAATATCAATAGTCTATGCATTTTTATTGATGGTAGCAACACATATTTACACGGGTAGCTATTCTGCCTTGGATCTAACACTCACAGATGCCAACCTTCTGAACGAATTCTTGCGGTCAGTTCACTATGATTTATGCGGAAAGTGGCCACCTTCCTACATTTCCAACAGTAAGTAACCCATCTGACGTTTTTCAAAGGCTTAGTGGTCTAAATTCGCACCGTTATGTGCTGATAAATTAAAACATGAAGTATTTCAAAATAGTGCTTACCCATTCAGTTATTTTCACATGAACTGAATGCTATAGCTACCGACTCCATTCGTAAGTCCTCTGCAAGCCCACACATTCTTAAGCCATGGTTTAATGGAGATTGCAAACAGGCTAGAAAATATAGGAAAAAAAGCGGAAAGATATTTTCGCAAGCATCCAACTGTGCATAATCAGAATACTGTTAAAGGTCACATGCAACCAAAAAAATCAAACATAATTAAAACACAATTATCACTTATTCATGACATATAATATACATTGCTGGTTGTGAAAAAAACATATAAACAATATTATAAGCGTACAATCGCAAATCAAAAGTGCAATATTGTGTACTTGGGTTTACTTCCAAAGAAACGAAGCAGCCGGGATACCGAACCCAGTCAGAGCGGGTTCATTTACAGATGCCCTCGCGGCTCATTGTGTGTGTGTATATAGAGATGCTGGGTTTTGTAAACACACACTCATTTTTTGTGTATACATTTTGCAATAAACATACATCATAACATGTCATGTGTTCAAGTATCAGACCTGCCTGTTTGTGTAATTACATAATGTGACAGAGACCGAACTCGGGCCATAAATCAATGCATTTTGTTGATGGTGTATAGCCTGATTGGTGTTAAGTTCAAATCGCTTGTGGTCAGTGATAGCAGCTGTGTATTGAATATTGTCATTAGCAGACAGGCAGGCAGACACACAGGTGTCAATAAAACAAGACATTGAGGTTTGTCTGTGACAACAACATATCTATATCAAAGTTAGAAATTCTGTCAACGCTTAATAATGACATTGATTTTAAGTATCGAACTGAGAAAGTGACTCGGTAAGAAGAACGTGTGGTGAAATAGACAAATGAAATTATATAAATAGTTAATTTACTGTCATAACATACAAACAGCTCGCGCCTGTGAGATATCAACAAAACATTAGAAAAATAGCTCGCACCAATGCCTTCACTGAGTATTCACCGGAGAACCCGCTTCAAAGCTGCTCGAACCTATTTCACTGCGCACTTGCTATGAGCGCAGCCCAGCTGTTGAAACCAGTTTTCCCCGGAAAAGTCGGGGGAAAATTAGTGAAACGTTTGAACTCCGATTTCTCGCGTTTTTTTTCATCGCGTTATTTTTCAACTTTATAAGTTGAATTTGCATTTTTGTCGATTTGTTTAGGTAAGTCCATACTGAAAGGTATCAGAATCTGCAAAGTTGTGTTTTACGTTGCATGTGACCTTTAAGGTAACCAGAGCTAAATTTCGACGTACTTTCAAACAAAATAAACGTAAATCATGGAGAACCTACGTTTCCAAGAATAATTCCCGCACACCTATATCAAAGGTGTGGAATATGGTCTAAAGGATCAAGGGCAAAGGTTCAAAACCGAGTGTTAAACTTCTTACGGAAGGAGATCACTTTCTGGAAGAAGCTTCAGGTATTGCAAATACACTTGGTGAAACATTAGCTAAACACTCGCCTTCCTCAAATCGTCCCGAATTTCAGAAATATCAGAAGCTCGAGGAAAAGAAATACATTACTTTCAACTCCGAAAATGGTGAAGATTACAACGAAGTATTTTCAATACATGAGCTACAAACTGCCCTTGGACAAGCTCATGATACAGCAACTTGGGCTGATAATATTCACTATCAGCTTCTGAAACATTTGCCTGAATCATGTCTTGAATTACTTTAAGATATTTTTGATGACATTTGGGCTTCAGGAAGGAGTGATATTGTTGTTCCTATACCTAAGCCAGGCAAAGACCATTCAGATGCATCTAATTATCGACCAGTATCATTAACTAGCTGTGTTTGTAAAACTATGGAACGAATGGTAAATAATCGTTTAATGTGGTTTTTGAAAACCAATAATCTTATTACGGATATTCAATGTGGTTTCCGGAAAAACCAAAGTATTATCGATCATGTAGTAGGATTAGAATCCTATGTTAAAAATGCTCTTGTAATTAAACAACACGAAGTATCAATTTTCTTCGATCTGAAGAAAGCATATGATACTACTTGGAAGCACGGCAATTTGAAGGATTTACATGAGTTTGGTTTGAGACGTCCTTTACCTCTTTTTATCACACAATTTTTAACAGACAGGCAATTTCAAGTCCGAGTGGGCTCAACCCTGTCTGACCATTATAATCAGAATCAGGGTGTCCCACAAGGCAGTATTTTGTCTGTGACATTATTTAGTATTAAAATAAATAAAGGGTTTTGAATGATTCAGTTGATGGATCACTTTTCGTGGATGATTTTAATGTTTCTTGTCGTGGTAAACATATGCATACAATAGAGAGGCAACTACAATTATGTCTCAATGAAATTCATACATGGTGTCTTGAAAACGGTTTTATCTTTTCTAAATCCAAAACAAATTGTATACATTTCTGTAGAAAATATAAACCGCACAAAGACCCAGAACTATTCTTAAAGGGCACTCCCATCAAGGTAGTAAAAGAGACCAAGTTCTTGGGACTTATTTTTTTATTCTCATCTGACTTTCTTACCACATATTAAATAAATATTAAAGAATAAATGCAAGAAGGCACTTGACTTGTTGAAAGTCGTGTCTAATTGAAAGTGGGGAGGGGAACAAGCTACCCTCCTACATCTATATCGATCACTGGTCCGTTCAAAACTTGATTATGGCTCCATCGTATATGGTGGAACCTGCAAAGGCAACCTTAAAATACTTGATTGTGTCCACCACCAAGGTGTAACTTTGTCTTGTTACCTTCAGAACTTCTCCTGTTGACAGTCTCTACGTTGAGGCAGATGAGCCATCTCTTACACAACGCTGTATAAAACTATCTTTACAGTATATTACTAAACTGTACGCTAACAAATCTAACCCTGCATATAACTGTGTTGTCCTCTTAATGATTTTTATACAACATGAAATCTTCTCTTGTTCCGCCTCTTGGGCACAGAATTAAACCTTTCATTTCGGCTACAGGCATTGAACTGGAAAATATAAGTTGACCTAACATTAACCACATTTAAAAAATCAGAAACAAATGACTTACAAGAATTTAGTCAATTAAGAAATAAATATACTACTTATAAATACTTATTTACAGATGGATGCCACTGTCATTGGATCCAGAACAATATCTTCTCGATTGCCTGATAATAGCTCTATTTTCACAGCGGAAGCTAACGTCATATTAACAGCCTTAAAATATATTAATAAACACCGTAAATATAAACAATATATAATCTTTTCTGACTCTCTTTCTTGCCTTCAGGCGATTAAAAATCTTTCTTGTAAACATCCACTTTTAATTGCAATAATTGAATTTTATAATGATCTTGCAACTGACCAATACGACATCGTCTTTTGTTTGTTGCCCAGCCACGTTGGCATTTCTGGGAATACAATGGCCGATCTTGCTGCCATACTCTGATTACAAAGCTTGCATTAGAACTTACACCCGTGATCTGATGCAGAAGAAGTGGGACACCTTCAGTTGTTAACGATATATATCCTGAGTTTTATATTGTATCGTCATGTATAGTTAAATTCTTTTATATTAAGTTACTCATTTTATATTAATATCTTATATTAATCTAGTTGTTTTACTGTCATTCGTTGACAGGTGTTTATAATTTAGTTTTAATCATTGTAAATGTATAGCTTGATTTAATCACGATATGACTGGAATACTGCCGATTTTACTATAACACGTTATTAACAGGCCTTACACGGACACGAACCCTTCACTATCACCGCCTGTCATGTCTCCCTTCGATGCACACGTCACATGACAGGGAAAGTGTAATGGCTAACCAACACAAGTTTGACTGTGCCTTTTACTACTTTGGGTTTTGTATGCTATCAGAATTACCATCCTCCCTAGACATTGGTGTTTGGGAGTCTGTGTTAATGCATATATGTACCCCAGGGATACACCCGGCTACCCGTGCATGCACGGTAAGGGAGGTAATCATAAGTGGTGGGGGTCGTATAACAGATAAAAAACGAGTTATTTTTTACTAAAATATTGTTACATCTGTAGAAGATGGATGCATGTAAGCCAAGGAAGCTATCACCCAGGCATATGGAGGATACACACGATACTGATGTCAAACACCACAGTAGCTTTTTACAGACATCGATACGACACTATCTCATCATATTCATATTCTATGAACTGGTTTCCCAAAGAAAAAAAAAACAAACAAAAAAGAAAAAAGAAAACGAAAAAGAAAAGAAAAGAAGCAAAAACAACAAATAAAAACATAAAAAACAACAACAAAACAAACAGAGAAGAAGATACAAAAACCTGAAAAAAACTAAATAAACCCAAATAAACCAAACATAAAAAACATTAAAGAACAAAACCAAACAACAAAACAAAGAAACAAGAAAAAAGAAACAAAACAAAAAAAACACAAACAAGCAAATAAAACAAGCACAAAGCAGAACAACAGTGTCAAAACAAATTGACATATCGTCTACCTTTTGTTGTTTTTCTGTACTGATTCCCAGATTGTTGATCGAGACAGTTGGCGAAGCTGAAAACTAACATGGAGCTCTCTGAAAAAGACGTCAAGAACTGTTTAGATGGTATGTTTCTACATTTATAAAAAAATACAACTGCGACGTGTAGCGAAGCACTGTATTTGGTGCATAGCTGTGAAATATTAGTTTTGTGAGGGACGTCATTCTTTCCATAAGGGAAATTTGATTTAGTGACTTTCTGAAAAGTTATATTTTAAGTTTATCAACATTTATCGTCATTCAGAAAATGTTACTTGTATGTATGGCTATATATCTCAACGGCAACCCCGCAGCAATGTAAGATGAGAGTAACCCCCTAAACATTTCATTTACATATTTGTGTACTGTGTCAATCTCAGGCGAGATATTATAACAGCAACTTAACACATATTGCATTGGAATCTTCAACTTTATTCCTTAGAGCGGGTAAAAAAACTGCAAATCAATAGAAAATCTGTAAATATCTTCTGCACAACAAAGGACATAAATCTCACTAAATAGTAGATAAATCACCTTTGATCGCCCTTAAATCTAGACAATGTATAAATTATAACCCTTTCATGGACGCTTCAAACAAGTATCTCGAACATATGGAGTGATACCGATTAAGAAATTACTCAATTGCATTAAATATTACATTCCGTTGTTACTAATACATTTGCCACTGTTTACACCAACCTGATAAATTTGTTTACGGATGATTGCTATGAAACTGATACGCGATATCAACGCATACCTAAAGCGAGGGTGAAAGCGATATAAGCGAGGGTGAAGGTCACACAATAAAAAACAGATATTGAGTATATTTGGATGGGTAAATTGCATTTTATGCATTGAAACATAATCAAAAACATCTGTAATCATTCAAATGTACTCCCAACTGTATGCAAGCCATACGTTTTTGCCTCTTTTACACGCATTTGGGAGATTCGATCCCAAAATAAAACCCGATAAGACCATGCGGTCTTGAGTTTTAAAACAAACTAACATACGGAAAAGAATAGAAACCTACCTTAAAATGAGAAAAAAGGACCAGAAATTAAAATGTGCTACAGAACAATTTGTGTTGTAAGCTGTGGCCCACTGCGAGGAGTTCTGTTTGACACTTGAGAAAAAAATGTGTTAGGCAACAGTTCCAGAAGCTGGACAATTAATAATAATCCAGACTTTCTTGAGTGAAATGACATTCATTAAAGATCTTGACTTTCATTGCTGCAGCCAAATATTTGTATTGCCTATTGCGAAAGTTTATGTTATGTTTCAACGGTATGCTTACAGAAAACCTAACCAACCTTCCTTACAAGATGGTAGACACAAGGGGCCTGTATCAGAGGAGGACTCCCTGCATGCAGATTGAGGGAAGTCTTCAGGTTATTGAAGCCATGTTTTTGCAAGGAGGTGAGGGCTTGAGTTAGAAATGTGTTCCAGCACTGTAGTGCGTGTGGAAGAAAAGAACGAAAGTTTGGTTGTGTGATAAGGCTTTTGTATTTTCACTTGTTGCATTTGTCCCTGATTCTGTGTCACTTGTATTCCATATATTTAAATATCATCATTTGCGAAACATGCCGTTTCATTTACAGGCCAAAGAGGAATCAAAATATTTCCCAAGGGTTTTCCAAAAAGAAAAGGCTTATACCCAATTGGAGACAAGACTCAATGAACTTTCAGAAGGGGGCAATGTTGGTCTTGCATACATCGCAAAGTCTCTCCCGGTTACTGCTAATATGGACATTAAGTACAAGACTCCTGGAGAAGTTATTATGGACGTGTGTCTGATCAGACAGGGAAGTCCAGCTGTTATTCTTTCGGTTGTGACAGACATGCCTGAAAATATGAAACTTCAGACTCAAAGATACAACTCTGCTGTCTCGAAAGAAGTTACAAAGAACGTTCGCACGTTTACCACCATGACCTTCAACTCTATACGGGTTAGTTCATGAGGATGAACTCATCTCGAAGGAAAGATTTGAGTCATCACTGGCAAAGATAGTGAAAGAACGATCTCGCCTCTGTATTCCTGATTCCTTGAACATGAACGAGCAGAAATATAAACATGTTGTCCGTGCTTTCCTCTCTTCTATGTCAGCAACAGAGTTTGTAAGTGGTGGAGGTGATGACACACTATGGTTTCTGACTCATAAACAGTTCTGTATCCTGACAGAGAACATTGATCACACTGAAGTGCATGTGGATACCGTCCCTGCCAGCGGTGGTCGAGTGCTGTCTCTCACCGTTACCCAGCGCTTACAGAAACTTGGACGAACATTGCTCATTTCAGACGATGACAAACTAATCAAATGTGCAAGGTAATGTTAAAATAACATTTCTTACCTAACAACAGCTTTTATGTAAGTAGAACATTTCGTCAACAACGTTACATAAGTATGGATACCACCATTACAATTATATATATATATTCTTAAAAGAATGGGGATGATAAATTATTGCTGTTTAACTGAAACGTCAAAACCCCTTCCACTTTTGAAGGAAACGATTGTACAATTCCTTCTTTTGCGTTTTTTGACGTAACCTGTAAACAACGATGTATGATGTTGTTTGTAAACAACTGTGTCTGAACCTGACACTCCAGTGATTGACACTATATGAGATACGATGACAGAGCATAGGTTCATGAATCAGTATAAGACACTGATGATACCAGGTGTTCGCAAAAAGGTGAGCGTATCTTGGCACCCGTCATAAACTTATGCAAAGGCTTGTCAACTATTCATCTGAAAATATCAAGGATTGTATGGTACAAGTTACAACAGGGAATTGCATCGGACAACAGTTTTCGTTACTGATGCATCACATTTTGAAACGAATTGCTCCACATGTCTACCATAAAACATTTTCAAAGCTTAAATGATGCCTTAGATGTTGTAACAACTTATTAAAAGAAATATTTATCATTAATGTTTAACCCAGCATTTCCCCAGCAAAGGGTTGAACATTACAACATCATCCACTTGCGTCTGGCTTTAACACTTTGAAGTGGACCATTATTTATATTCTGCTTATCATAGGGTTCGGTTTACTTGATCCTACTTATTATTATTCATTGTGAGATAGTTTTACCTCATGTTGTACTGTCCCTCGTTCACAGGGTTTTATATATTATATGTATGTATTATGAATTTAGAACTAATCACGATATGGCTGAAATATTGCCGATGTGATTTTAAATCTTAACTCACTCATTCAGTGTGAGAAGCAACACGTCTATGAGTTATTGGCATACACAAAACTGGCAGAAGTCAGTGGCCACTGCGTAGCATAGTCAGTGAACAGCAAATTGTTGAAAAACATTGACTGATAGAAAACCAGGCTCTACGAAATCAAGTCCAAAAGGAAAATAATAATGCTGCAGTACTGGGATACGAAGTAAAGATTAGAGTATTAAAAATCCTCTTTATGAAGTTTATCTCTATCCTCGACTGCAATTTCCGGGTTAGAATTCGTCTCCGGTAAAACATGCCTGGCGTAAGAGTAGACTAAGGGATCGGGTGATCAGGCGCGAATCCCAATTGATGCTCATGCTGTTGATTAATGGATTGTACGGTCCAGGTCCGATTACATACAGAACTCTACCATATAGCTGGAATACTGTTGGGTGGGGCGTTAAACAACACTCCAACCAAACTCAATGGCGATATAGTTGTATTGTCCACTGACGCTAGTGGTGTACGGAATGTTGAAACTGGGTTAATCTAATCCAGATTCATTTTGCACTACCTGGACTGGTGTAGTCGTCTCAGGCAACATCAAAATGACCTTGCTGGCAGATTTGATTGTGGATCGGTTATGGTGTAATTATTGAAGGAACTCGTCGCAAGGAAGGGTCACTATCAGGAAAATATAGTTACAACCTTTGTTGTCCTGGTTGCAAAGCGTGTGAGTCCACCTTCTAAAAGATGTCTAGGACATTCATATCTAATACAAGTTTAAAAGTTAATAATAATTCAATGTATTCCCCATTCTTTTGGGCGATAAAGTATAAGTACTATATCTCTAGTGTGAGTGAGTGAATTAAAATTTAAAGTCACATCGGCAGTATTTCAGCCATATCGTGACTAAGAAAGTTGTACATTTATAAAGTTAGCTAATATACTTACCTGTCTGCAAAGGACAGTAAAACAGCTAGATTATCACAGAACTAGTAATCAGATCTAAAATATTTTAACAATACATGACAATACAATATAAAAACATGCTATAGATTGTCAACAACTGAAGGAAGATCACCATACTAGTGACCATGGGGACTTGGGGACCTATATTTAGTGCATACTACAAGGGCTGATAGAGATGACATTTTACGAATGCCTATAAACTTCTTACAGAAATCACAACATTGATTGCAAGAACTTCAACGACCTTGGACAAATAGATCTGGCGGCTGAAGGAAAAACTTTCTACGTTGTTGTATACGAAGGTGGAGAACACTGCTCATCTCAGGTTCCACACCTTCCCCAGCTGTTGGCCGCTGCACAAAGCGTTGGGTTTTCCATAGACAGAAAGGTAGTTGTAAGCAGCTTGTTTCAACTCTGTTTGCTATGTGCAGACAAAGTACTGAGAATAGTAGTTACAAAACCCTTTCCAAATCCATCGATGTAAACTACTGACTGTATCATGAATATGTATTTGTATCAGCACTATTACAACTGTACGATGTTGTTTGTATATAAACGCTCCAGTGAAGATCCGGGTTAGAATTGACCTTCAGCAACCCATGCTTGTCACAAAAGGCGACAAACAGGATCTGGTGGTCAGGCTCTCTGACTTGGTTGACAAATGTCATAGTATCCCAATTGCGTAATTCGATGCTCATGCTGTTGATCACTGGATTGTGTGATCCAGACTAGATTATTTACAGACGGCAGTAATAAAGCTGGAATATTGCTGAGTGCCGCGTTAAACAAAAAACCAAGAGTTAGAAAAGTGTAAACAGTCTAGTCTGGACCAGACAATCGAGTGAATGACACTAGAAGATATGGTGACAGAGCAGGTGTTTATGAATCACTACGCAATAGTGTTGATACCAGGTGCTCGCGTATCCTGCTCCAAAGGTGGCACCCGTCATAAACATATACAGAGTCTAGTCATTTGTTCACCTGAAATAATTCGGGAACGTATGGTATAAGTCAAAATAGGAAATTGCTTCGGACATAAGTTTTGTCACTGGTGCATCCAATTTGGAATGCAACAACCGTATCTGAGAAGTTTATATGTGATCAGCAAAGTTTAGAACTGCGAACAGCTTTACTTATTGCTTAAGAGACGGTGTCTGTATGATTAAATTCTATCTTACTTTTATTTACAAATGGCAATGTTAGACACTATCAACAAACAAATTATAACAGGTTTTGCTAATCGAATATGTCAGTTTCCAGGATAGTTGGGGGATTAAGATTTGCAAGGAAGCAAACATGTTGTTACCCATTAAAAACATAATATATCAGAACATATTTACTAATTCAAAGGTAAAAGAGCCGTAGAATAGTTCCTAGTTTGTGATTGTAGATGGAATTTCTTCAGATCAACTTATACTCACTCTATAGCATAGGTTTGGCTAAAGAAAATGTACATTTTGTTCCAGGATCGCCTGAGGATGAAGATGTGCAACAAACCGCACATTGTATGGCCCGTTCAAAGACAAGGTTTGATTGTGGTAGGTAAGATCAGAATAATTCTAATATTTTCGAAGAAGCCCTTCTGTGTTTGGAGCTGGCCTAAGAAAACAGGTGTATCAAGTGGCAGTGACATCCTACTTTCATTAAGACTGACATGTACACACGAACCATTTGTGAGTGAGTGAGTTAAGTTTACTCAGCAATATTCCAGCTGTGTGGCGGCGGTCTGTTGAACCATGTCTGTGTTTACAGCTGGAAAAATGCCTGAAAGGGCAAATGTATCAAATGACAATCAAAAACGACTTTCGATTCAGGGAATAGGGAAATGCATCGGACATATCAAAACAAAACAAAAACGAACAGCAAAAAAGATACGAAAACCTTAACCAAAAAACAATCTTAGAACAAAACCAAACAAGAAATTTAAAGAAACAAGAAAAAAGAAAGAAACAAAACGAAACACACAAACAAAGATATAAAATAAACACAAAAGCAGAACAACAGTGTCAAAGCAAATTAAAATATTTTCTACACTTTGTTGTTTTTCTGTAGTCAGCCTTCCATCCGATATTCAGGCATTGCTGCCCGACCAAAAGTATGTAAGTTTCGACACCTTTCTGATAATGTTCTAAACAGGGGATGCTTAATGTGTGTATGTGTACATAACTCGGTACTGATTCCAGAGTATTTATCAAGACCGCCGTTGGCGATACTGAAAACTAACATGAAGATACAATCATAAAAATATACAATTGCGACGTATAGTGAAGCACTGTAGTAGGTGCATAACTGTGAAATATTAGTTTTGTGAGTGAGGTAATTCCTTCCATAAGGGAAATTTGATTTAGTCAACTTTCTCAACATTCAGAAAATGTCACTTGTATTAATGGCTATTTATCTCAACGGCAACCCCTCAGCAATGTAAGATGAGAGTGACCCCCTAAATATTTTATTTACATATTTGTGTACTGTGCCAATCTTAGGAGATATTATAACAGCAACTTAACACATATTGCATTGGAATCTTCAACTTTATTCCTTAGAGCGGGTAAAAAACTGTAAAACAATAAAAAAAATCTCTAAATCTCTTCTACATAACAAAGGGCGTATTCCTCAGAGATAAACCACCTTTCAGCGCTTAAATCTACATGTAATAGACAAGGTATAAATGGAAACTCTTTTATGGACGCTTCAAACCGGCATGTCGAACAAATGGAACGCAAACCAATTAAGAAATTACCCAGTTGCATTAAATATTACATTCCCTTGTTACTAATACATTTGCCACTGTTTACACCAACCTGATAAAGTTGTTTACGTACAATTGCTATGAAACTGAAATACGATATCAACGCATACCTAAATCGATACTAGCGAGGGTGAAGGTCACTCAATAATAAACCAATATTGAGCATATCTGGATGGGCAAGTTGTATTTCATGCATTTATACACAATCAACAACTTTTGTAATCATTCAAATGTACTACTTACTGTATGCAAGCCATACGTTTTTGCCTCTTTTACACGCATTTGGGAGATTTGCTCCCAAAACGAAACCCGATAAGACCATCTAGTCTTAAACTGAGTTTTAAAACAAACTAATATACGGAAAAGAAAAGAAACGTACGTAAAAGGAGAAAAAAGGACAGATATTAGAATGTGCAGCAGAACAATTTGTGTTGTAAGCTGTGGCCCAATGCGAGGAGATCTGTTTGACACTTGAAGAAAACATTTGTTAGGACACAGTTCCAGAAACTGGACAATAGATAGCAAGCATTGTCACTAAGGTGACATAATCCCCCGTCGCAACTTATCAAATTAAACATAAACAGTAATAAAAGTTTAGATGTCAGCAAAAACACGACTAGTCAACCTCTCTTGATATCTTGCTCTTTAGTTGTTCAAACACACAAATATTTTCAAAACTGGTACTAAAGAAATTGCTTATTCAAAAACATTCAAGGAAAGTCTGTGAAGAAAATCCAGTGATTTCAGGTTAACATGCTGAAATCTTCAAAGTGTCGCAGTGACCTTGAACATTAAGTGAAGGTCACCAAAATTGACTGGGCCCTGCACCTTTATTAGACAAGGCGTTGTGTCAAATATGAAAAACATCCAGTAAATGATTCTTGAGATCTCACTAACCATCTTAACATGAAGGTTAACAAACTGAAATCGTCAAATTGTCGCTGTGACCTTGACAATTACGTGAAGGTCAGTAAAATGACTGTCGCTTGAGGGTCGCCAGTAAATGGTTCTTGAGGCGCGCTAAACGCGCGGAGGGGGATAATAATCCAGACATTCTTGAGTGAAATGACTTTCAATAAAGACCTTGACTTACATTGCTGCAGCCAAATATTTGTATTGCCTATAGTGAATGTTTATGCCATGTTTCATTGGTATGCTTACAGAAAACCTAACCACCCTTCCTGACGAGATGGTAGACACAACGGGCCTGTATCAGAAGAGGACTCCCTGCATGCAGATTGGGAAAAGTCTGCAGGTTATTGAAGCCATGTTTTTGCAAGGAGGTGAGTGCTTGGGTTAGAAATTTGTTCTAACACTGTAGTGCCCGTGGAGGGAAAGAACAAAAGTTTTGGTTGTGATAAGGCTTTTATGTTTTCATTGGTTGCATTCGTCTCTGATTCTGTGTCATTTGTTTTCCATATATTTAAATATCACTATTCATGAAACATGCCGTTGCATTGACAGGCTAAAAAGAAATCAAATTATTTCCAAAAAGTTTTCCAGAAGAAAAGGCTTATGCCAATTTGAAGAGGGGACTCAATGAACTTTCAGAAAGGGGCAATGCTGCCCTTTCATACATTGCAAAGTCTCTCCCTGTTACTACTAATATGGACATTAAGTGCATGAGGTTATTATGGACGTGTTTTTGATCAGACAGGGAAGTCCAGCAGCTATTCTTTCGGTTGTGACTGATATGTCTGAAAATATGAAACTTCAGACTCAAAGATACAACTCTGCTGTCTCGAAAGTACTTACAAAGAAACTTCGCAACTTTACAACCGTGACCTTCAACTCTATATATGGGTTAGTGCACGAGAAGGAGTTCATGTCGGAGGAATCATTTGAGTCATCACTGGCAATGATAGAGAAGGAACGATCTCGCCCCTTTATTCCTGGACCTTTGAGCATGAACAAGGAGAAGTATAAACATGTTGTCCGTGCTTTTCTCTCTTCTATGGCAGCAACAGAGTTTGTTAGTGATGGAAACGATGAAACGCTATGTTTTTTTTAATTCATAAACAGTTCTGTATCTTGACAGATATGCACTAACCCATATATAGAGTTGAAGGTCACGATTCTCATGCTGTTGAACGCTGGATTGTGTGATCCAGACTGGATTATTTACAGACGGCAGTAATATAGCTGGAATATTGCTGAGTGCAGCGTTAAACAAAAAAACAAGAGTTAAAAGAGTGTGAACAGTCGAGTCTGGACCAGACAATCCAGTGAATGACACTATAAGACATGGAGCATATCTTTATGAATCACTGTGCAATAGTGTTGATACAAGGTATTCGCGAGAAAGTGAGCGTATCCTGCCCCACCGGTGGCACCCATCCTAACCATATGCCAGTCAGTTGTTCACCTGAAACATTACGGGACCGCAATTTGGAATGCAACAAATGTAACTTGGAAGTTTACATCTGATCATGCAAAGTTTAGAACTGAGAATGGATTTACATATTGCTTAAGAGAGATCTCTGTATGATTAAATTCTATCTTACTTATATTTACAAACGGCAATGTAAGACACTATCAACAAACGATTTATAACAGGTTTTGCTAATCGAATATGTCAGTTTCCAGGATAGTTGGGGGATTAAGATTTGCAAGGAAGCAGACATGTTACCCATTAAAGAATAAAATAAATCAGAACATATTTACTAATTCAAAAGTAAAAGAGCCTTAGAATAGTTCCTAGTTTGTGATTGTATATGGAATCTTCTTCAGATCAACTTATACTCACTATGTTGCATGAGAGAATGTACCTTTTGTTCAAGGATCGCTTGAAGTTGAAGATGTGCAACAAACTTACCATGTGTTGACCCGTTCAAAGACAAGGTTTGATTGTTGTATGTAAGATCAGAATAATTCTAATAGGTGTATCAAGTGGCAACCTACTTTCATGTACACACGAACCATTTGTGAGTGAGTGAGTGAGTGAGTTTAGTTTACTCAGCAATATTCCAGCTGTGTGGCAGCGGTCTGTTGAACCATGTTTGTGTTTACAGCTGGAAAAAAGCCTGAAAGGGCAAATGTATCAAATGACAATCAAAAACGACTTTCGATTCAGGCGATAGAAACCTCCTCGTCTTTCTTCAGACAATTGCTCTTTCTGGTTGGGCACTTTCTGCTTTACATGCAGTTTACGGCAGTATAGCATATGCAAAAGGTCATGTATATTCTAACATATTCCATTGTACGACTTGGGTAAGACAGGGCTGTATCCCCACGCCATTGTTATTCTCCCTTTTATTAATGAATTGGTCAAGTGAACCGAATTTAGAAGCTATACAGGAACTCAACTATACCAAGACCTCACAGAGCTGATGATATTACTTGTCATAGAAGCATTGATAAAAGTCTGCAAGATATTAGTATGATCACCCAATGCAAATAAAACAAATACAAACTGCTCACTTACACCTTTACTTTTAACTTTTAATTTATGTGTGGAAGCTGTATTGAATACCAAAAAACAGAACTACAGGAATGTTTTGAGAACTTGCAAGGTTGGACATGATTATCAAAAGAATCATAACATATATGCTATTTCAAAAGAAAATGTGTCCAAGAATAGTTTCTAGTCAGTGATTAAAGATGGATTTTTTCTCAGATCAACTCATTATGTAGCGTAGGTTTGCCTAGAAAGAATGTACGATTTGTTCCAGGGTGTCACAAGGAAGAAGATGTACAGCAACACAAACGTTTATCTTCGATAACAAGGCCTGATGATGGTATGTAAGATCATAATAATTCTAAAAGTTTCAATTTTGTGTGTTTGGAGCTGGAAAAAAGCTATAGAACATAGCAAATATCAAGTGACAGTGAAATCTTATTTTTCCGGTAAGTGAGTATGTGAGTTTAGTTTTACGCTGCACTCAGCAATATTCAAGCTATATGGCTGCAGTGTGTAAATAATCGAGTCTGGACCAGACAATCCAGGGATCAACAGCATGAGCATCGATCTACGCAATTGGGGACCGATTACATGTGTCAACCAAGTCAACAAGCCTGACCACCCGATCCCGTTAGTCGCCTCTTACGACAAGCATGGGTTACTGAAGGCCAATTCTAACCCGCACATTCACGGTTTTTTGGTCAGTAACACTGACATGTACACGTAAGTATAAAGTAAAAAAACAAGCAACAGAAACGTTTCCTGTCAAGTAACATTTATGAAAGATGTCTGCTAAATGAGTGAATGAAAAACGTCAACTTTGAAACATTCCATCTATCACCTATTGTCCGTCAAGATCGCTGGCGGTCATAACCGCTACTGCCATACTTCAATACCAGTTGCTGTGTGTTCCACCTTCGTTCATTATTATCATACAGCAAGTTCTAGAATTTTCTATATATTTCCTATATTGTTCATGGTTATACAATTATTAATAGTAACTATTATCATATAATTCAGTGACTTTTAAATGAAAATGTTTAATAAAAGATGTGTGAGAAACGTAATTTTAGATAATATAAAATAATTTGTGTGTCCTTATCTTTATGCACCTGATGGCCAATGGAAGAAGTGAAAAGGAAACGACAGGTAGAACAAGTGGTAGTGTTGAAGACAGGAGAGACGTTCTGAGAGTGTTATATATTGAGATGAAGCAGTTGGAAGAGTAATATAGGTGTAGGAAAGAAGAGCTGCGACTTGAACAGGATCGTAAACTCAAACGAGGAAAGGTTGAACATGGCGACACATAGCTTAACACAACAGCCAACAAAGGTTAAGTGAAAGAGTATAGTTTCACTGATTTTACGTGATTCGTGCACATCACTGTTCATTCGTTCATCACTGTTTTGTTTTACTTTAACACCCACAGACACACATTGAAACTGTGAGGCAAACAATTCAGTTCGGTGAGTGTCATAAGTTGTTTGACGGAGACAACAACTTTTAAGTACCGAGGAAATGTGTTAATTTAGAAAAGAGGAAGACATTTCTAACTTTAACAACATCAGTGACGGAACTGGTGACTATTGAATTTCCCTATTTTGACATGTACCACATATTCTTTGAAAGTGCCATATTGCCTTGGCTCACACACACACACACCTGTTGTTACTTGCTTCCTTGTTTGTTTAACATTGCCATCTGCAATATTACAGCTATGTGGTGGTGGTCGGTAAATAATTAGGGCTCCTTGCCTCTAGGCAGGAGACCTATTGTAATCGTTCGGATTATTATTATTATTATTTATTATTCCGCCGATTTTTGTACCAAACATAACTCCTAAACCAATGCTCCGAATTACTTACAAAAAATCACACAGATGCGCACCGATGTGTAGATATCCCCCTTAAAAATCTCTAGGCTCTTGGCCCAATAGCAAAGGGGCAATAATTCAAAATTAATTCCAGAATTTCAACGTTTGACAGCAAATATCTCAGGAACTAATTGTTTCGACACTTCCAAATTTCTTGTACAGATGCACAATCGAATACCCAACAATTTTGCCAGGACGGGTCAAGTCGCTAAAACGTACCGTTTGGCAGATATTTTTGTTTTCAGCTTTTCTGAGTAGTTTGCTCCCAAAATGTGCAAATTCTACGATTCCAGAACACTAATTGTTTTGAACGTAGACCCAAGAACAACTGAGATACAGCATTTTAAAGCACGTTTTGGACGATGATATCTAGCCCTCAGATACAATAGATAGAAAGTAAAGCCAAGGAGACCTCATCGTTGCCTGCAACTATATTTTTACTTTATCTTCATGCAAAATACTTTAATTTCATTGGTCAACACCCGGGAGGGTGAAAACTGAAAAAACTATTACCCGCTGCAACGGTAACCGCCAAACACTCCGCCGAGAAGCTGTATCGCTAACAATTGTATGCCTTGATGATATGACGCATGCAGTACGCGTGTTCGAAAACATTTCGATTAGCTGTTTTTTAGATCATTATGTACACATTTAGTTTACCGACTTTCACTGCTTTATTTAAACTATTTTACACATTGAATCGTTTGCACACTCAACTTAAACATAATAAACTAAGTTTACAGGAGTTTTAATCTTGTCAGAATAAGTTTCACTGATATGAAAAATCCAGACGCGAGGCAGACGCCATTTTGTTTACATGTCATATAGTCCGTAGTGATCATATCGATCTTCAAAATAAAATAAAATGATATTTTGTACATTAAACATGACGGTAAGATAAATACGTTGAATGCTTCGCCCTCGGGTAATACGGTCTTAAATACGTCTGTTTGTAGCAGTGTCACCGGCTCGGGTAACACTACCACAAAGAGGCGTACATCAGACCGTATTACAATCGAGAGAAGCATACAACTGGACTGGACTTGACATCATGAGACCGTCTCTGTGGTGTAGTGGTGAGAGCGGAACGTCGCGGGTTCGATACCAGGCGGCGTCATACTAAAATATGTTAAAATATGGTACTTGTTGTTCCCGGCCTGATGCTTGGCATTAAGGGGAACAACAAGGACTGGTCGGCTCGGAGTCAGTATAATGTGTCTGAGTGAAGTATGTGAGCTTAACTGTGGCATGGTACCTCAGTGAGCTAGCGCTATAAAACCAGCTAAAGTCTGGGCTAGCACAAGCAGCCAAACATACAAACGCATGCATGTGGTCATGTGAGCGAAATATTCTTAAAGAACGAATAAACTTTTTTAACTATTACATATGAAAGATTTGTGGTTAGTCTTGTGCGGAACACCAAATTCATTCTTAGATATCTTGTGGTTAAGTAATACCGAGCGATTAAACGTTGCCAAAAAGTCACGTGCTTCACTCGCGCCCGCCAACGAAACCACAGAAAAGTTACGTAACTCTGTCGCCAGAGCACCGCAGTGACGTCATATGAGGAAAGATTTTCAGTTAGTTGTATATAAAGTGTGTAGCAAGCTTGTCATTTTGATGATTTCTCGACATCATTGAAGACATGCTGAATCGTTACATTGTCGTGAGTTGCTCCTAGGGGTTGGATGATGGTGTCACCATGCACAGATTTCCACAAGACCCCGCAGTTCCTGCCAAATGGGTGCGAGGCGAGCGTTGTGGAAGCCTGAAACGATATCTTACTTGTGTTCAGATTGCTGCAAGGAAGTTAAAGAATCAAAATTACTTACTAGTTGTAGTAAAATATGTATAAGATTGATGACCATAAAGATTTTCCGTGACACAACTTGTAACATAATTATTTCTTCCTCGGAAGCAAGGTTGTGGTCGAAGTAACAATAATACTGTAAGTAGAATTATGTTGACACCAACCTCGCTTCCACGAATGAAATTGACATGTAATACGCTATGTCATGCAAAATCCTTTTGGCCATCAATCAAATACATATTTTACAACCGGTAGAAAGTAGTTTTGATTTTGTAACTCGGTGAAAACAAACCTATATAGCATTCATCCTCTGACTGGCGGATGTTCGCGACAGGCCGCTGCCATTTTTTAAAATCGTAAAGTCACGGGCTAAAGTCTGTTAGAATTAATGAGATTATGGTTTGTTATCATCAAGTTAGAAAATCAAAATTACTTTCTACTCGTAGTTAAATATTAATTGAATCATGACCAAAAGGATTTTGCATGACACAACTTATAACATAACGATTTCTTCCACGGAAGCGAGGTGGGGGTCGAAGTCATAATACTGCGCGATAAATTTCTTGCTACATTCATGTGGTTAACGTCCACTTACCAGTATGTAGATACTAGTCAATGTACGTCTTTATATTTGGTCTTATAATCCTAATTAGTTTATTATCATACTTGTATGCATTGTGAAACTAAATAAAAAGCAGAAGATCTGCTGATACTTGAATTCATGACAGGACTGTAATTTCTAGACGTTTTATAGTTTGCCAATGTTAATCATAATTCGCACACACGCCCTAGTGTATGTTGTCTGTCTCATAACACTTCACGACGAAAACAATGATTCTGTTGAATGCTACGACAAATGAATAAAAACAAAATGCAAATATTAAAATTAAAACCGATTTAAGTTATAGGAACAATGTCAGGCTATTACCTTGTTCAAGGAATGTATCCATCAATATCCACAAAAACGAGTGATATGCCATTCATCTGCAGCTGTTTCAAGTGATGTGGCTTTTAACAGTCTCATATACGAAAAAGTGACATATCGTTTCAGGTATTTCACATTCGCGTATAGTCTCATTGGTCACCCAAGATAGCACACCTGGCAACTGATTGCATAATGTCCGCCATTCTTTAAATAAAGTAATTTAGTTAGCCAATAATGAGCAAGCAATCAATGCATTGGCGGTTTATCCTTTGAAAGAAGGACGTTGTTTTTTCGCAGACACAGACACGGCAGAGTGTATTCGGTATAGATTAGTAAATCTACATACACAAACACTACCTTTTGACAAATCCGCTGTGTAAGATAAAAGTAATTAATCAATCAGCGTGTTATCGGTTAATCCTTTGATCGATGTTGATAATGTTGAGTATTTACTCCAGACACACGAAATGCCGAATGGGGACCTTTGTCGGTTACTCTAAGGGGTGTTACCACTAATTATACCTGTTATAAATTCATTAAATGACCATCAAGTGAATGATGACAAATAACGTGAAGGTTAACACCACCTAACTCAGGTTACAACAAAGGAGTAATTTTAATTGCATGTGAAAGGTTATGGGCCGACACTGTTTTGAGAATACAAACAGAACTTCATTGTTGCATAAGAAATACATATAAGCATTTGCTGTGTGCTAAAACTGTATGTACCTATTTACCTAAGTAAATTTTCAGATTTTCTAGCAATGGCAAAGTAAGGTTGTTTAGTTTACGGATTCAAATAAATGAAATGTCAATTTTTAATATCATACGTAACAGACGTCATATTTTTACACGACATGATTAAATTCGAGGTAAAAAAACACAGAAATGGGATCAATTTGGATCAGTCATTATACCATCCAGGCATTAGAAAACCTGAAAAAGCCCACACTTCTTTGATACTTTATTAAAATCAGACAAGAATTACCGAGGATATTTTGAACTGATGGGCATCTGATGGGCATCCACCCGTCTTAATGTCGTACTGTGTAGGTTGAAGAAATTAACCGTAACTGTGATGGGCGAGGCTGATCATCATTTTCGCTATGACTAGCGCCTGGCTCGAACAAATAAGTCCTAGCGACGCTGAGCGATGTTGACAGAATCGTCTATGAAAAAAGTTGTAACTCGGAAACTAGGCAAAGCAGGAGACAGAAATAAATGACAGTAGATTGTGAGAACATATAGCTTTCATTTTTCATAACAATTCTCGCGATTTCAGGTTTATACAAACCTGTAAGCAAGATGATTTACCCCCTGAAATGTACATGAATTCTGCATGGGCCCTCATAGCTATTCCTCTTATGACGTCACAGAGACGCACCGCTCTGATTGGTTGAAATTTCGTTCGCGGGTGAGAATTTTGCACTGTTGTCAAGAAGGTCGATTTAAGTTAATTAGAGATCGGAATGAGTAGTTTTGACGAGTGATCTTTAAGTGCGACGTTAAACCCCATTTCACCTCACCTCACCAGACATCATGAGTTGATTGTACAATTTTGACTCTATCGTGCTATATGGTAGATTTGTATCATTGTGTATTTGCGATGTTGTTTCTAAACAAATCGAGTCTGGACCAGACAATCCAGTCACTTTTGTCATCACCATTAGATACTGATTCATATAGACATGCTTGTGAGGCGGTGGGGGTAGCCAAGTGGTTACAGCGTTCACTCGTCACGCCCATTACATGGGTTTGATTCCCAACAGGGGTACATCGTGTGAAGCCCATTTCCGGCGTCCCCCGCAGTGAGATGGCTGAAATTTTGCTGACAAAATATAAAAAAAATTGGCTTGATTCTTCAATATAATATAGTTTGTTTGATGTATGAATTATATGTTCTTTTGTGTACAAAATGTATGGTTACTTATAAATTTCACCTTATTGTTTAATCTTTAATAGTTTTATTGCAACCTGGTAAGAGCTACAACACTCAGTGTGTAGAAAATCTGTAAGTGCATTGCATTGTTGTACAATACAATTTGACTGTTATGCATTGGTTTCTCTCCTGCTCTGAATATATCC